AATATCTAGCGTTTTGTTAATTTTCCAATGGTTTCTGTAACATGTTTGGTGTAGAACTTAAATTCTTGCTTTATATGGACTGATTTATGATAAATTCTCATATCTAAACATATTATACTGTCTGGACAGCGTTACACAGTAATGCTAAAAGTATAATATGGTGCTTAAATTGACTGCTTACATCAATGTTTAAGTTAACTCTATTTTTGGGGGCATTGTACCAATTTGTTTTGATTTATTTTTTATATATTCACTCAGCGACAATTAAAGACTTTTCATTACATGAGGAAATAAACACAACAGTTCTGAAAAAGAGATAGAAAAAATTGATAAAACAGAATAAAGATACAGGACAATTTCAATGAGACAAGAACAAACAGTTTGTAAGAGCTTTTTAAAAATATTTTTTACTATTAATATTTTCAAATTAATCATTGATGAAAACTCCAGCAGTTATACGGATATTTACCTGAAGTAAATTAGCTTTATGTTTTTATAACCTAATCGGATTTAACCCCTTATTTCAAGTACTCCTCCTATTCCTACATGGATTTCTTACAAATGACATACCAGATTTTAAATGTAAGAATAGGAGGAATAAACCCCCACAAACATATTCCTAATCAGGATGATAGTAAAGATACTACCCGAACGAAGTAGTGTTCTATAGTAATCCTGTTTTATTACCACCCTCCATGCTAACTTTGAAATTAGGACAGAAAACAATCGTATATATTAATCCTGTTTTAATCCAGCCTTCCATGTCAAAAGGCAAAATTTCCCATAAGAGTCACACCATCCATGTTAAAACACTAAATTTCCAATAGGGGTGGGACTAAAACAGGATTAATATATAAGTGTCTTTTTATTGAATTTATATACTGTAAATTCAGAAATTATTTCGAGGTTTTTACTTATGCGAATAAAGTAGGATTCATTGGTTTTTATCTATGCGAATATTGCAACTAGGTGAGTATCGCAATAATAAGAACTCGCATTCTGAATTATTTTGTCCATTCTATAAAAATAGCAATAATAAATGCAGTCAATAATTTCTGAATTTATACTGTAGAATACTAGAACAGGATTCATTTTAAAGACATGTTTTATCGCATTAATTCTACAGTCTTAAAATGGTGTCTTTTGGGGGTATTCATTAATCGCAAAGGGGATTGGAATGCTTTGGGAGTACGCAAAGATACTTTAAAATAAACAAACGACCTTGATTGAACATTGACCTTTTGTGACACAAAAAAAAACAAAACCCATATGTATAAAAATGACATTGAACTTTGACATTTTGTGACACAAAAAAGACAAATATGGAAGAAAATAAAAACATGTTTCGAAATTGACCTTTCGCCTTTAGTTGCTTACATCGACGTCATTTGGACTCGGATGGCTAGTTGTGTCATTTGCAATCACATCACTTCTTCTTATTTTTATGCCAAAATCAAATAAAACGATGAAACAAAAAAATAGACTACACATACAAGATTAAAAAAATTTATTTTGATTTTTATCATTGGGAAAAGTACAAATAAAACGCAGAACCAACCATACCCTATAGTGTCCTCTTACAGATCTATTCACATGGAATAGCTGAAAACCAACCTTGGTTAAGGTAAAATTCACACAAATTTCTTTTTTGACATATGAGGGAATCAAAACATGCTTTATAGTATCCCCTACAATCCCCCCTACACATGACATACTGGGGGATCAAGCATGGCCTATACTATCTTGCAAGCTATTTTATGGTCCCATCTTATGGACATGTAGAAAAGCTCCTTAAGTCACATATACTTGACACACATAAGCATTTACCATTCCCTGGTATGTTATCCTACTACAGTCCCATATACTTGACACCAGTAGGAATCATAAGTAGACTTGAACAATGTCCTTTAGTATCTTACTTAAGACCCATACACTTTGCATATGTGGGTGTCAGGCAATCATGCCCTATGGTATCCTCATATATTCCCATCTACTTGATATTTCTGGAAATCAACCACGCCCTATGTATTCTCCTACCATCTCACTTAGTTGACATAAGTGGGAAAGCGTGTCCCTCAACCGTCTAATATATTTGGCATAAGTAGGAATCAACCATGCCCTTTGGCATTTCCATATCCCACCTACTTTACATTATTAGGAATTAAACATACCCTACTGTATCCTCCAATCGTCCCATATACTTGTCATAAGTAGGAATCAACCATGCCCTATGATAGCTTTCTATAATCTTCGTGACCCACGTGACATAGATAGGAATCAACCATGCCAAATAGTATAGTCCCACCTGGTTGGCATATTTGGAAACTATAACCAGTACTATGGTAGCCTCCTATAATCCCGTATACTTGACATAAGTAGGAATCACCCATGCCATATATGGTATCCTTATGTAGTCCCACTTGGTTGGCATGAGTGAGAATCAACCATACCCTATGATATCCTCCCATAGTCCCATCTACTTGACATAAGTAGGAACCAACCATACCCTTTGTTTTCTGTCTACAGTCCCACCTATTAGAATCAAATCATGCCACATGGTATCCTTTCACAATCACACCTACTTGGAATAAGTAGGAACCAACCATGCTCTATATTATCTTTCTATAGTCCTGCTCATTTGACATATTTCGTAATCAACTTTGCGCTATTTTATCCTCCTTAGGTCCCACCTACTTGACATAAGTAGGCACGGATCATGCCATATAGTATCTTATTAGAGTCCCATCTAATAGAGATAGTTTTTTTTCTTCTTCATTTTAATACGCCCGTTTACGGGACGTGTTATTGCATACCGTTGTCCGTCTGTCCGTCAGTTTGTCCGTCCGTCCGTCAGTCTTCAGTGGACAATAACTAAAAAACGCTTCAACCAATTTTCATGAAACTATGGTGAATTGTATATATCTATTGACGTAAATAGATATAAGAAGATGTGGTATGAGTGCCAATGAGACAACTCTCCATCCAAGTCAAAATTTTTAAAGTAAACCATTATAGGTCACAGTAGCTCCTTTTGATTTTTATAAATTTTGGATTTTACGTTTCCGCGTTTATTCATAAAAAAAGGGGGGATTTCTAGTTTTCGGACAATAACTCAAAAATGCTTTCAGTAGTTTTCATGAAACTTTGGTGACTGGTTTATATCTATTGAAATAAGCTCCCTTTAGTTTGTTTTTTTTTATAAATTTTTGGTATGACATTGAGGATAATGGAACTTTATTCGTTGAAAAGCGATTGGCGTACCATGCGCTCATGGCGCAGCTTATTATTTTGTGTTAACAATGAACGAGTAGTCTTTGATTTTGTATACAACAATAACTCTTTGAATTTGCATGTAACTTTTTTTTTACTTAAACTGTAAAGTTTTCAAATGAGTTAAAGTATACACCGAAGAAAATATAATATAACTTACCATAATGCAATGTTTATCATGTTTAAGTAGTAAAAATTGATTTGTATTTTTCAGCAGCAAAGAATTTAAATGGGTAGCTATTTTTTGATAGAAGCAAGTCAACAGGTTAGTATACTATTCCCATGTATTTTATACAAGAGCGATCAAATTATTCATACGGAGATGACCTCCGAAAACTAGAAACATAAATATACATAAACGTACATCGTATCATAATGACGATTTTTCTAGGTCTGTTTGCTTTCATGTTATATATTTAAAATTTATGTATATCATCATTTTACCTGCATAAGAATGCTTTTTGTAGGCCGGATGAGTCAACGAAATTGTTATTCCTGGCGTAATCCTTGTTATACTTTCCAATGTTGACATTCTTTCCTTTTTAATGAATGAACCACATCCTGAACACACGCGCAACCCATCTCCACTCAAGGTCAAATAAATGGCGCATGAATATACGGATTCAAATGAATTGAATTATTGACTTGCAAGTCAACAATACATCACTGATGTTTTTCTTTTTACCTTTCTTGACGAAATTTAAACAAATTGACTGCTAATAGCGAAATAGTATTCCGCTTTAATAAAAGTTTGAAACAAAAAAAAAATCATGCTGAGGTCAAATAAAGGGTGCATGATTTTTTTTGTTTAATTCAAAGCTATAATGACCCTTTTAAAAACGAACACATTATCAAACTGAAAGTTTTTGGAACGATAATGCCTTAAACTTTATAATCGTGCAAAAATATCATGTCAGGCGGTTGTTTTGTAGAAACTATTACATGAAGAAATAAAATATCCGTGTAAACTTTGGACAAGGTACGATAAGCCCCCGTTTTGGCCCCCCTATTTTCTTATTTTTCAAATTTTGTTTTGGAAAGCTACTTATCATGTTAAAATATTCCCTGAGGTTTGTAGTTTGTTTGGATGAACTTCAAAACCATTAATTTCAGCAACTGGGTGAGGTGAGGGGGGTAAATTTCCGTTATTATTCAGATATTGTAATTATTATTCACTTTGGAGGTGTTCCGAACAACGATCTTTTAGTTTTTAAGTGCCTGCGCCAACGTAACTCAGGAATTTTTTTATAACAATGTCATTATCACTGTTTTTGCTGTCTAGATCGCCATAATTTTCTCCGGGTGCTATTAAATTTTAAGAAACACAGGCCAAAAATCGTAATTTTTCCTACTTTTGGCGTTTTTGATGCCCTTTCAACCCCCTCACCTCACCTAGTTGCTGAAATTAATGGTTTTGAAGTTCATCCAAACAAACTTCAAACCTAAGGAAATATTTCAACATAATAAGTAGCTTTCCAAAACAAAATTTGAAAAATGAGAAAATAGGGGGGCCAAAACGGGGGCTTATCGTACCTTGTCCTTTCTGCTGTTTTTTTTTCTATGAAATATTAAACTGTCCTGGCAGATATTTTTAAAAATTTGAAAACGATACAAATAATGTTAGTACATATTCTGTTCTTGAGTCAAACAAAAGTTATAATTTAAAACGTATCAAAATAATTGATTTTACCTGTCCTGTATTTAGGCCTTCCCAAAATAATCCGCGAAAAGGGAAGTAATCTATACTAAACAGACATTTTCGATGAATGCTTTATAAATAGCTGTCTACATTTCTGGGGTTGCAGAATATTGGATGTCAAGGGTAATTAGATTCTGGTAAATCTACAAATCTTGAAAAAAGCAAAGACGGGACGAACTGTCAAATAATTTTCAGTTAATCAGTTGGATTGAACATTTGAACTTGAAGATAACTTATTCCGTAGGGGGCGTGATAGTCCAATATTGGCAATAATTATGACATCTTGAAAGGCTATTATATTTTTTTCTTTGACGCCTTACATCGACAGGAAGGCGTCAAGCAAAAATTTGAAATAGCCTTCCAAGAAGTCATAATTATTTGGACTAGGGGCGTGAGCACAGGCACTTAATTGAATTTGTTTCTATTCATCATGTTCATGGGAAGGTCGACTATACATATTAAAGAAGCTTCTATTATATATGGATAGTCGACCTTCCCATGGATAGAAAAAAGTGATTGTGGGCGTGAGATTTTCTTAGTAGTCATCTGTCGTACTTCAACTTCATTTAATACTGAGCCTCCTCATAGGGTTTTTGATTATGTGATTACTTGGCCGTTTTTATAGTGATTATTTTATTACCAGACCAAATATTTCATGATTATTTGATAATCTAGGACTGTATTTTTGATTATTTGATTTTCTTGTTTAAAAAAAATTAATGATTATGTGATTATATTGGCAAAACATTTGTGATTATGTGATTACTTGGACACCCCCTTGAGGGGCATCATTAGTCCTCAAAATCCATACTGGTCATCTAATACAGGTCTCAATAGTTAGCGACAAGTAGACTAATTTAGGGTCAAGTAGACTAATTTAGCGACAAGAATACTAATTTAGTGATAGAGGAAGATACTTGTTCGAGAAAATAGGGACTGTTGAGTCTTTTTTTATTTATTATCAAATTATAAAGGATGTTTAAAATATAAATATATGACTTTTTTCATCATAAATGAATCAAAGTTTATGTAGAGTTGCATGGTTGAATGAACTCTCCAAAACCAAATGACCATTAGGTATACAGCGATACAGGAACATAGGTTAGATATACTGTTCCCAGATCGATATTGATCATATATTAAAGCTATGCTTTACAGGGTGCTTTTATTTTGAGAATATGAAGCTTCATTTGTAGACTACTCAGCATGATGCTTTTGTAATCTGAAGGATTTATATTAATCTTTATTATTTCTATGTAATACTCAAACACCTGTATTGTTACAAATATAGATTATACAGAAAATAGGTGCAAAGTATAAATAGCAGCAAAATTTGAAGCTTTATAAATCGAGTAATCAACTGTAATTTACTGATTTTTTTTCTATAAGTTTATATGTTTTCATAGAATATAGACTTTCTTGTCACTAAATTCGTCTTCTTGTCACCATATTTTGTCTTCTTTATTTTTTTGCTAAAATGGTTCTTCTTGTCGATAACTAGTGAGAACATGTTGGACTAAGCTTTCTAATAACCTACATGAACATGATGAAAAAAACCAATGGTTATAAATGACAATTATTAAAACTTGGAAACTGCCTGATAGTAAATTTTATGTAAAAAATATTTTCATAGAAAAATTGAAAGGAATAGATATATTTATGGAGTTGAAAATGAAGCTATTTTATGCCCTAAACAATAATGATAATCAACAAAAATCAATTTCGTAAATTTCTTCTAATTTAAACATATTTTGATTTTGAACCCTTCTTATACAAGAGACATGCATAGTATTTGAGATTGGGAAACATAGAAAATCTCGCCAATGTCATGTGTGTTAACTCATTCCCTAACGAGATTACTTAAATCAACTGACCTGTATTCTGCTGGTGTGGAAACAAGACGTTTCGGTCATGGAGCCAGTTCGGCCTTGGTCGATCGGGCGTTGGTCGTTTCAGCCATGTAATAAAGCCATACTTTTATTTTATATTAAAATAGATTTTGTTATATATACTTTCATTTATTTACCTTTTATAACTTTAAAAAATAGCTTTATTACAGTTTTAGTCCTGATGTATATATAAAAAAAAAAGAAAAGTTTTATAACAATTTTATTTGCTCAAAGATACAAATAGGATCGGACACAAGTTTAACGAACTTGTGAAGTCTTCTCTTTTACATAATATTACAATTACAATTATACAGAGCATGCACAGTTCAATAGATCTATCTTAAAGGTAATAGTAAATTGAGGCATTTGCACAGATAAAAAAAGCCTAACACAATAAACAAGGAAAAGAATAGAGAATTGAGAAAAAAAGAAAAAGAAATAAAAAAGAAAAAAAAGAAAATAAAAATGATAAATAAATAAATGAAACTCTGTGGACACAGTGTTTTTGTTTATTCATGTCTTTGTTGATTATACTACAAGGAATCTTTTTGATTTTTTTATAAATTTGAAGACTTCTTTAAAGATTTGAATTAAGAAATGTAATTCATTTTCTACCTCATTTTTTCCACATTTACAACAAATTCTATTTTCTCTTGATATGTTTTTATATCTTCCAGTTTCTATAAAAAATTTGTGTGATGATATTCTTAACCTGCAAAATGCTTTTCTTAATTAAAAGTTTTTAATAACACTAAAATAATTCTCTGAACCAAAATTTCTTTTTACAGAAAAGAAAGTATCTAATTTTATCTTATTTTTCCAATCACTTATGTATTTTTATGCCCACGCCGTAGCAGAGGGGGCCTTAAGTTTTACCCTTGTCCGCCTGTACGTCCGTCTGTATGTCCCAAAATTGGTTTCCATTCTCTAACTTTAGTTTGCCTCAACCAAATGTTATGAAACTTATAAACTATGCTTATAAACTCAAAACACAGATCAAGTTTGAATTTTGGTGGCATCACTTTTACCGTTCTAGAGTTATGTCCCTTTACAAATGGAAAAATTGCTGGTTTCCGTTCTCTAACTTTAGTTTGCCTCAACCAAATGTTATGAAACTTATACACAATGCTAATTACCACAAAACACAGATCAAGTTTGAATTTTGGTGGCGTCACTTGAACTGTTCTAGAGTTATGCCCCTTTATAAATGGAAAAATTGCAAAATTTTTAGTTTCCGTTCTCTAAACTTAAGTTTGCCTCAACCAAATGTTATGAAACTTTTACACAATGTTTATTACCAAAAAACACAGATCAAGTTTGAATTTTGGTGGTGTCACATTTACAGTTCTAGAGTTATGCCCCTTTACAAATGGAAACATTACTGAATTTTTCGTTTCCGTTCTCTAACTTTAGTTTGCCTCAGCCAAATGTTATGAAACTTATACACAATACTTAATACAACAAAACACAGATCAAATTTGAATTTTGGTGGTGTCACTTTTACTGCTCTAGAGTTATGCCCCTGCCTCAGCCAAATGTTATGAAACTTATGCACAATGCTAATTACCACAAAACACAGATCAAGTTTGAATTTTGGTGGTGTCACTTTTACCGTTCTAGAGTTATGCCCCTTTACAAATGGAAAAATTGCTGAATTTTTCATTTCCGTTCTCTAACATAAGTTTGCCTCAACTTAATGTTATGAAACCTATACACAATGCTTATTACCACAAAACTCAGATCAAGTACAACTTTGGGTAGCGTCACTTTTACAGTTCTTGAGTTTTGTCCCTTTATAACGTTATATGCAAGCGGGGGCATCATCTGTGTCCCATGGACACATTCCCAATTTTTTGTGTAAAGCTTGGTTTAAATTAATTGAAACCAAATTTTCTTTTACTAGAAGTCAGAACATCTTCTTTAATATCTATTTCAGTTTCTGACCAGTTTTCACTCATATTCTACATGTAGTTCCATGAGACTTTAGGGTCTAATAAGTAAAATTTTTGTCTGAAATACTTAAGATTTGATATTCAATGTTAATTTAATTTACTGTTTAAAGATTGTTCAACAGCTGCCAAACAATTGTTTGTCAAGTTTATTAAGTTAATTTAAATGACTCACTTATAAAAATATATAAGCTATGGCCAAATACTAATTCCCAGGTATGAGCAAGGAACAAATTAAATATTATTTTTTGATTTAGACAAAATAATTATAAAGATTTTTTTCAAAGAAAATTGGAATCAAATTCAACAACCAAATTGAAAAACAGTGAAAAAAAGGATCAAATTGATATTGTCACTGTCTAATAAATGATACTTACATGTAATCGTCATATAAACACATGGTTGTTAGTGACAAAGAATTAAGATAATGATAACTAATTCTCAGTTTAGTGAAGCATTTTCTTATAAAGAAGTCATGAGAAGCTAAATAAAATTCTCTATCCAGGTTAAGTTTTGAATATTTATATAAAAGAGAGGCAAAAGATACCGAAGGGACATTCAAACTCATAAGTCAAAAATAAACTGACAACGCTATGTCAAAAAACGAAAAAATAACAAAAGGCAAACAACAGTGTATAAAACACAACATAGAAATAAGAGCTCAGCTAGGTGCTTCAGAAGGGTAAGCAGATCCTGTTCCACATATGGCACCTGTCATGCTGCTCATGTAAGTACAAACCAGGTGATAAGTTTAATTCAGTAGGTCACATTAGAGGAAAGAGGACAGGATTGTGGTTACAACAATTAGAACATATTCATCATCATCTGTGAAACAGATATTTCATAAAGGTCAACCAACTCTTAATAGTGTCCAGAAAAGTTTCGAAGGGATGATTTCAACTTCACCACTTGGAACTCTTGGTTTAAAGGCTTGCTTGTGAGCAGCAACCCTCTATCAAGGAAATCCTAGCTCTAGGATATCGTATAAACTAGGAGATATATATACTCCATATACAGGCGCTGCATGAATTTTGCTACATAGAAATAGAATGTTCACAGTTGGGAAGCTGAAATCATCTCTTTTGTAGTAAAGTTTTGTTCTCAACAGACCCTCATTGTCAATTTCTAGATGTAAGTCAAGATATGAGGCAGACTTAACTGTATCTGTTGTATCCTTTATTTCAAGTTAATTATAAAGTAACAGTTTACTATTTTCATCAAAGCTATATATTTATTTTGAAATTTAATTTTTACATTTTTCTATTACCGGTTATCAATTTTTAATCAAGGGCTTTAGAAACTTCACTTGATTGAAATCTCTGCAATTAGTTATTTTATCTAAAAGGTCTGGGTTAGGTGAAATATTCTTACAATATGTAAACAAAGAATATGTATTATGCATTAGTCAGGCAGGTTTTACAATATAAATGCTTCTATAAGTAGAGGAATTATATAATCAGAATTCAGTCTTGCTAAGTAAGATAAAGACTGTCAAATATGAAATGTTCCAGAGGTATTCTTCCTAATTCTACTCTGAACAGAGTATTATTTAGATTAAGAGTTTATTAAGAATTGTAGAAAATGGAAAGGTTTAGATCATACTCCAGTGTTGTCTTTACTTTTATTCTGAAAAAAAAGGCTTTCCTTTGACCACACACTCTACTGTGACCATGTGTGTATGGAAACACTATTGTGATCATACATGCATGATAACACCACATGCATGTATGTATGATTACACCACTGTGACTATTCATGTATGGGAACACCACTGTGCTCATACATGTATGGTTACACCACTGTGATTATTCATGTATGGGAACACCACTGTGATCATGTATGTATGGTTACACCACTGTGATCATGTATGTATGATTATACCATTGTGACGATGCATGTATGGTCACACCACTGTGACCATACAAGTATGGTTACACCACTGTGATCATGCAAGTATGGTCGCACAACTGTGGTCATGCACGTATGGTCACGACACTGTGACGTGATCTGTTTTTATAGTTTTAGCCTGAAATCATTATAAAAACATAACCAATCAACAAAGACTTACCATAACAGCAATCTACTCTCAAAACAGATTTACTACTATCTGTCAGGTCATATGGTTCATATTCGTACTTGTTTGCTTGTTTGTCAGAGTATGTGGAATGGAATTTATCCCAATTTAATCATTTTCAGTCCATGTTTGAGCATTATTCTTTGTTAGTGAAGGAAACAATTACTTTTAAGGTTGAGTGATATGTCCATTTTGTTATCAAACATGAAATGTGACTTTTTATACGACCGCAAAAATTAAAAAATTTTTGGTCGTATATTGGTATGACGTTGGCGTCGTTGGCGTCGTCGTCGTCCGGCGTCGTCCGAAGACACATTGGTTTTCGCACTCTAACTTTAGTTTAAGTGAATGGATCTCCATGAAATTTTACGCTTAGGTTCAATACCACGAAAGGAAGGTTGGGATTGATTTTGGGGGTTATGGTACCAACAGTTAAGGAATTAGGGGCCAAAAAGGGGCCAAAAATAAGCATTTTTGTAACTTCCAGACAATAACTTGTGTGTAAGTGTATGGATCTCTCTGACATTGTACAACAAGGTTCCTTATCACAAAGGGAAGGCTGTAATTGATTTTGGGGGTAATTGCCTCAAAATTTTAGGAATTACGGGCAAAAAAAGGGGCAAAAAACAAGCATTTTTCTAGTTTCATGACAATAACTTGTGTGTAAGTGTTTGGATGTTTCTGAAATTGTACTACAAGGTTCCATATCACAAAGGGAAAGCTGGAATTGAGTTTGGGGGTAATTGCCCGAAACGTTTAGGAATTGGGGGCCAAAAAGGGGCCAAAAATAAGCATTTTTCTAGTTTCCAGACAATAACTTGTGTTCAAGTGTATGGATCTCTCTGAAATTGTACTGCAAGGTACCATACCACAAAGGGAAGGCTGGGATTGAGTTTGGAGGTGATGAATCATAAGGGGGTTCAAAAAATTTGGGGGGGGGGGATTTTTTTTTTCTTTTTTTTTCTTTTTTTCCTTTTTTTTTTCTTTTAAAATTTTCCATTTTAAGTTGGTTATTTCTGATTTATATTTAAAAGCAAGTAATAATGATATGGTAGGAGATACACACCAAACAGGATGTGTAAATTATTATATAATAAGTATTGTGCAATAGCAAGAAATTTTCAATTGCACAGTATTGCACAATAGCAAGAAATCTTCAATTGCACAGTATTGCGCAATAGCAAGAAATCTTCAATTGCACAGTATTGCGCAATAGCAAGAAATATCCAATAGCACAATATTGCGCAATAGCAAGAAATTGTCAATTGTACAGTATTGCGCAATAGCAAGAAATATTCAATTGCACAGTATTGTGCAAAAGAAGATACTTCCTATAAATTGCTTATTTCTTGATCAATTTCAATGGGGTTTTATTCTTGAATTCTTGGGGTTCTTTAATATGCTGAATCTAACCGTGTATTAAGTTTTTGGATTTTGGGCCCCGTTTTTAAATTGGTCCACATTGAGGTCCAAAGGGTCCAAAATTAAACTTTGTTTGATTTCATCAAAAATTGAATTATTGGGGTTCTTTGATATGCCGAATCTAACCATGTATTTAGATTCTTAATTTTTGGTTCCGTTTTCAAATTGGTCTACATTAAGGTCCAAAGGGTCCAAAATTAAACTTAGTTTGATTTTAACAAAAATTGAATTTTTAGGGTTCTTTGATATGCTGAATCTAAACATGTATTTAGATTTTTGATTATGGGCCCAGTTTTCAAGTTGGTCCAAATCGGGGTCCAAAATTAAACTTTGTTTGATTTCAACAAAAATTGAATATATGGGGTTCTTTGATATGCTGAATCTAACCATGTATTTAGATTTTTGATTTTTGGGCCCCGTTATCAACTTTGTCCACATTGAGGTCAAAAGGGTCCAAAATTAAACATTTTTTGATTTTATCAAAAATTGAATTCTTGGGGTTCTTTGATATGCTGAATCTAACCATGTATTTACATTTTGGATATTGGACCATAATAGGTGAATGTCCAATTTAAAATTTTTAAGTTCTTAGACCACATTCATTCTGTGTCAGAAACCTATGCTGTGTCAAATATTTAATCACAATCCAAATTCAGAGCTGTATCAAGCTTGAATGTTGTGTCCATACTTGCCCCAACTGTTCATGGTTCAACCTCTGCGGTCGTATCAAGCTGCGCCCTGCGGAGCATTTTATTTATGTTTATGTTGTTTCAACTAGCTAATACCAGAAGTAATGATCAAATTCTGGATTATTTTGAAAAATTCTGCATTTGTTTGATGAAATAAACAGAACACCATAGATAATAGGAAATTCTCTATCGAAACAAAATCCTTTAAAAAATAATACCTCATACAGTGAGACCGAGACCTTTATCGACTTGAATGTCGTCCAGTGCTTTTTATCAGATGTGACCTGTGCCTACACATATTTTAGTATTTTTGTACACTGTATAAATGAATCTTGGGTGTATGTCTTACATAGATTTTGTCTTTTGAATACATAGTTTTGGTTGGCAAGTGAAATTTTGATTTTCCTTTACAGATGTCAGACTACATTGCACCAGTGGGAGCTTCTCTACTACCTCATATTGGAGGAATCTTAGGTGGTTTTGTAACAAAAAAGAACATGAAAACATGGTTTGAAGTAGGTGCACTCTCTTAATAAAGCTTATATAGAAAATAATTTAGAAATTAGTAATAAGCTTATTGCAAGCATTCAGAGTTTAAGCTAGGATTCTGAGGGTTTATTTTGCATGATACGAAACCCAAATTTTTTTAGGTAACAGCATAAAACTACGGCAGTTAGTGCATGGGCTTAAAGAATTTCTGTCCTTAGCTGAGGGTCTTGATGTGGTTTACAGAATAGAGAATGTAGGTAAAAAAGTTAAAACTGGAAAAAAAATGGAACAAAAAAATAAAGGATAGATCATGGGATGCTAATGTATAAAAAAAAGAGAATAATTTGCAAAATAAATTAAGAATATTATTGAATTATGCACATGAATAAATAGTTTTTATCTCACATGGCCCAAAGAGCCAATTTTAGGTTTTTTTATCACTTCGTTTCCATCATCCCTTAATGTATTTAATAAATCTGTGAAACCAAGGGTCCCAAAATGGTCATATTTTCCAGGCATGACATGGTATTTGGGATTTACTGTAAAAAACAAGCCCATTTCAACTGATTTTTGTCGAGCCTGCGACTTCTGTCGCAGAAAGCTTGACATAGGGATAGTGATCCGACGGCGTTAAGTAACTACTTAAAAGCTTTATATTTTAAAAGGTGGAAGACCTGGATACCTCTTACTTTATATATACCAGATAGATGCCTTATGTTATGAAATTTTTGTTGTCATATGTCCATTGTCCTTGACCTCATTTTCATGGTTCAGTGACTACTTGAAAAAAAAGTTAAGATATTTTGTAATGTTAATTTCTCTATATGTAATATGTGCGTACCTTGCAAGGTCCTCTTGCCTGTCAGACAGTTTTCATCTGACCTCGACCCCATTTCATGGATCAGTGAACAAGGTTAAGTTTTCGTTGTCAAGTCCATATCTCAGATACTTTAAGCAATAGGTCTACTATATTTGGTGTATGGAATGGTTGTAAGGTGTACATGTCCAACTGGCAGGTGTCATCTGACCTTGACCTCATTTTCATGGTTCAATGGTTAAAGTGAAGTTTTTGTGTTTAGGTCTTTTTTTCAAAAATACTATATGCAATAGGTCAACTATATTTGGTGCATGGAATGATTGTAAGGTGTATATGTCTATCTGGAAGGTATCATCTGACCTTGAACTCATTTTCATGGTTCATTGGTCAATTTTTAAGTTTTCATGGTTAAGTTCGTTTCTAAGAAACTATAAGCAATAGGTCAATTATATTTGGTGTATGGAATGATTGTAAGGTGTATTTCTGGTTTGGTTTATCTGACCATGACCTCATTTTCTTGGATCATGTTAAGTTTATGTGATACTTGTAGTAATGCATTATATTTAGGACTATCAACATAAAATCAATGGTCAGTAAAGCAGGCAAGACATTTCAGCATGTGCACACTTGTTACAATTTGTTCTTCTTACTTTATATGTACCAGATAGATGCCTTATGTTATGAAATTTTCGTCTGTCATATGTCCATTGTCCTTGACCTCATTTACTGTTCAACCACTGTCCTAGGTTAAGGGTAGGATTGAGGGCTCACACTTCACATTCTTTGTGTGTCTGTCTCAAGCCTGTCATCCAGTGGTTCTTGTTGATTACTGCCAGCAATAATAAAATAACTGTTTTTCCTTTATTGCATTTCGAATGAACCAGGCCCCTGGTTTTCTCATTTAATGGTTCATTGGACAAGTTTTTTTCCTATTTGGTTTATTTCTCAGATGCTATACTGTCTTCGACAGATTTCATATGCTATTGATTCATTGATCTTATTTTCATGGTTCATTAGTTAATAATAAGTATTAATGGTTTTGTCTATTTATCAGATACTTAAAGCATTACGCGACTATAATTGGGGTATGATATGATTATCAAGTGTCATATTCATCTGACCTTGACCTCATTATTATGGTGCATTGGTCAATGTTCAATTTTCTTAACTATGTCTGTTACTCAGATTCTAAAAGCAACAAGCTAGCTATATTTGGTGCATGTTATGAATGTTTATCTGGCTGGGTTTGTCTGACCATGACCTCATTTATATGGATCATTGATAATGTTAAGTTCTTGTGATACTTGTAATAAAAAGTAAAATAACAAAAATGCCGAACTCCAAGGAAAATTTAAAATGGAAAGTCCCTTATCAAATGGCAAAATCAATAGCTCAAACACATCAAACAAATGGAAAACAACTGTCATATTCCTGACTTGGTACAGGCATTTCCTTATGTAGAAAATGGTGGATTGAACCTGGTTTTATAGCTAGCTAAACCTTCTTATAACAGGCTTTCAACATAAATTCAATCATGATAAGTAAAGCAGGTGAGACATTCTAGCTTGTACACTCTTGTTTTATAGTAATGAAAAACTCACAGCCTTAAGATAAGTCCACTTTCACTTTTCAGTTCAGGTGTTTCATAAAAAAAAAGATGTGGTTATTAGCTGCCAATTTTCATTATAATGTTAACATAAACATACTTTTTTCCAGCATTTAGAAAAACCTTCATGGAAACCACCTAACTGGGTATTTGGTCCAGTCTGGACAACGTTATACACTAGTATGGGATATGCCTCGTACATGGTGTGGAGAGATGGTGGTGGTTTTAATGGTGAAGCAACAATACCACTTGCTTTATATGGTTCACAGCTTGCACTTAACTGGGCTTGGTCGCCAATCTTTTTTGGTGCTCATAAAATAGGAGCTGTAAGTTATAAAAAGCTTAATGTAGAGATATATATTTGTATAAACAGAAGGCTGATTGATGTATTAATACACTATTTGAAAAGATGTTTTAAAAGATTCATGTAAATACATCACTTTACCTGAATAATCAAGAAATTGAAAGTGGGTTTGACACACTGAAATTGAAATGTTTTATTATAGATGCTTCTAAAACCCTTTTGTTGCATACAATTGAAAAGGACCTACAGAACAGTTTCAAGAAAGGTTCTTAAGATATGTACGATTTAGGTTTAAAACTTCATGGTTATATTTAGATAAATAGGAAGTCTAAATAGATGATTTTTTTAAAAGAACCATCAGCTAACCATTAGACAAGATAAATAATGTTTAATTTTTGTCTCGCTTGTGAGACATGGGATGAGTATCCTGTGGCGTGGTAAACTATTTGTATATAGCTTTATATTTCAGAAGGTAGAAGTGTATGCTTCATATCTTCTATACTGATACCTTACATTACAAAGTTTCCATCTGTCATATGTTTAACGTCCTTGACCTCATTTTGATGGTTCCTCGTCTGCTATAAAAATTGTAGGTTTTCTTCTCATGTGAAATTTTCATATGGGATCCTTGCAAGGTCTACATGTCCCAACAGACAGGGTTCACCTGACCTCAATCTCATTTCATGGATTAGTTATCAATGTTAAAGTTACGTAATTAGGTCCGTTTCTCAGATGCTATTAGTAATAGGTCAACTTTGTTTGGTGTATGGAATGATTTTAATTTGAATTTTGGTGGCGTCACTTTAACTGTTCTAGAGTTATGCCCTTTATAAATGGAAAAATTGCAAAATAGTATAAAATAATGATGATGTTAAAACACCTTTTTTAAAAATATGCAAATGTGTGTAGATTCCTGCACAAGTCAGTTGAAAGCAATGTTGGATAGTTGTGAATAGAAAAGTTTATATATATAGCTACTATTTGAATATACATTTTAAGGCTTGACTATTTTATTTATTACTTGGGAGTGTACATCATTTTTTCATAACCCTTTTGCAAATCCAAGTTTCTTACAAACTGGATGTCTAATGTAAATTGCACAAACCAATCGCAATATAAATTTAAGCACTCAGTTTGCTATCGTATCTTCATATTTTGTTTCCTGGATATATATATATGTCTTATATAGAGACTTATATTGGTCTCATAAAACATCTCAAATTTTAAGGATTTCCTGAAAAATATTTAAATCAATCCAAATATTCTACAGGAAAACTTGGTTTTGAAGAATGTCTTGTTTTCAGAAGTTTTATGAATACCTGAACATACTCTCAAACGAACCAATTTATATAAAAAGATACCAGGATTAAAATGTTGTATGCCAGACGCGAGTTAAGTCTACAAAGAATCATCAGTGACGCTCGAATAAAAAAGGTTAAAAGGCCAAATAAAGTACAAAGTTGAAAGGAATTCAGGACTCAAAATTTTGAAACAAAGGTTTTGCCGAATACATCTAAAGTAATCTATGCCTGGGGTAGAAAATCCTTAGCATTTCGAAAATGTCAAAGTTTATAATAGGACAGTGACTCAAAAAAGAAAAGAAAAGAGAAACAGCTAGAGGTCAGAATACCGTAAGTAATGATGCCATGCTTGAAAGTCACTTGTCAAGCTCTTACTGCCGTGTCCTGAATTTGGATAAGAAAAGCGAAAATTCTCATTCACGAGTGAAATTAATATTTATGCATGCATGTGGTATTTTTGCGCAAGAAATAGGAAATAGAAAGCATACGCACTGATACTCTGGATAAGAATACGCATTTGCGTCTTCACATATACTAATCTAATAGTTGAATTTGGATGTCAAACTACCTACCTCAAGTGTTTTGACTCCGGATTCAATGCCATTTAATCCAGAATTTGTGTGAACGCAAACTAATAGTGTGCATGTGAACAGGGTGATGTATAATGTGAATGAACCAAAACGTGTAGGATAGCTGGTCAACACAATGAATACAATTTTCAAAATCGTACCATAGTGCAAATATTTAGATGCTATATGATTGAACTAGTAAAACAAACAAACAAAAAGAGATTTGAAATTTTATAATTAACATACATTCCTGTTAATGAATTTTTTCCGAAAATTTAGAATATAATATCAATAAACACAAACGTCAAGTATTTACGGATGGACATTTTATTTATCAAATCATTCTCTTCTTAAAGTCTAACATTCCACTATATGAATATATTGCTATCCAAAATATAAGCAGAGACTTATAAATCCATATTAAAACAGTATAAAATAATTAACATAGTAATTAAATTTTGTTATGATTATTGTAAAATATTTATTACGTTTTTTTGTGAGATGCAAGGATTTAAAATCCTTGTGAATTGAAACCATGCAAGTATTTTTTCATTCATGACTGTTTAAAATTTAGATATTTAGCTAACTTTGGATACGCATCCCTGCTCATTGGTGCTCATACGTTGCATATGATTTTCATAAATGTAATGGCTGTTCAAACCTGTCAGACATAATGCACGTATATTTTGACAATTTTAATTATATTCTATTAAGAATAAAGTCAGTCTCAGTTTAAACTTAATAATGAATATTCTTTTGGTCTGGTAGTATCTATTAATGAAATTAGATATTTTTGACAGAAAAATCCTTTTGTTTAATTATCTTTCTGCTTTCCGACCATTGTGTTTCCGACCTAAGATAAATATTTATAACAGAAATATCGTTTTCTTAATTTTCTTCATGCTTTCCGACATTTTCCCATGCTATGATTGAAATACAAAATATCAAATGACAAACGTTCAGAAGTAATCAGATTTTGTGGGACATTATATATCAATAAACTATTCCCAGGTTTTGCTGTGGTGTCTGTGGTTGATGGAAGATGTTCGTTGTTGTTCTGCGGTTTGCATGTTGTGTCGACTATTATATTATTTGTTTGTGCGTTTCTCTGTGATGAGTGTTCTTGCTTGTGTTTGTGCTGTATTTCTGTCACAAAGTGTTGTCATTTTAGCGATATTTTTTTTGCATTGTCATATAAACGGGAGGTTTGGCTAGCCATAAAACCAGGTTCAACCCACCATTTTTTCTTAAAATGTCCTGTACAAAGTCAGGAATATGGCAGTTGTTATCAAATAGTTCGTTTCTATGTATGTTGGCGTTTGTTTTTGTTGCACTTCAGTGTTCCTGTTGTTCATATGTTTCCCTCGGTTTTAGTTTGTAACCCAGATTTGTTTTATCTCAATTTATTGATGACTTTTGAACACCGGTATACTACTGTTGCCTTTATTTATTGTCACAATGCACAACAGCACGCTGTATTAAATACTACACACACAACGCATACAGGGACCGTCTCAAAGCATGAATTATATAATTGCGTTATCATTATACTTGATATTTAATAAACATTCGCATTATTAAAAACACATATGTTTTGTCAAAAGGCAATAGGTTTTAACATATAAATGTTTTTTTAACTGCAACCTAGTCTTTATGGTTTTACTTTCCAATCTACAAATAAACTTTCATTGTTGAAATATACAATGCGGCTTTGCCACGCATGGTAGCCTATCCATAGAGGGACCATATCAAAGACATAAATAACTACCTGTATAAATGATCGAAAATTTTCGAGACGTTCCGAGAATCTTGATTCCGAGGATATCGAATGACCCATAGACACTTCCAAAACTCACCAATATATAGGCGCGAATCCCTCACGGGGTTCACGCAAAAAATGCCCTACCTCTATATAGGCTAGTACTAGCAGTTGCTTTTTCAAGTCAAATATCAAACATTCCAGCCACATTTAATATGTTAACATAATAGTATTTAATATGTTATCAATTTTCTAGGTTTTGTGATCATAGAGGGTCAAAAGGGATAACTAAAAAGTTAATTGTGTATTGCACTGTACTGGATAATACATTTAATACATGCATTTTGATCAGACGTGATTGTGTTTAAAACAGACACCCTTCCCAAATACAAGACTGGAGAAGTTAATGTGACTATAATTCAGTCAGGGGTAATAATTATACAAGTGTATTTTATTTACTGGTACAGGTAAATTATTTGAATGGTATAGTTATATCCCTTAGACATTCAGATTTTTTTTACCTATACAAGTAAAAAAGTCATATTTTCTTCTTTTCTTGAATTTCTTTCGACTACTTTGCTCTAATTGAGTGCTTAATTGTCTGTCTTTTGCAGATGTCTTTTCTAATCATAAGTATCAGTTCATGGACAATGAAAATCAAATCTCATTTGTCTGTTATCTTTAAAATACTGCTCATTTACAAGCCTCCAGGGAGCAATTTTTGAAGGCCTTGCGCAGTTACTTAACATCCTTGCGTAATTGATTTCTTTGTTGAAATAGTGAGATGAAAGGTTGAACTCTAATTAAAAAACATTTGTATTAGCAAACCGGAGAAAATTTCTTTCAGGCATGTTTTTACCTCCCAATACTTGAGAATTTTAGGGGTTGTAAAATAAAATTACTTATATAAGTAAATTTTTTGAAAATATTAAGGGGAGATTATTCAACCCTTGAAAAAAAATATAAATGTTACAAATTTACATATACAAGTATATAGTTACTTGCATCTTCAAGTATTACTAAATAAAAATGACTTGTAGAAGTATTACCCCTGACTGTAATTATATACACATGTGACTCTTGCCTGTGTTACAAGTATGCATAGGTTGTCTTTTTCCTTAAAACTTTAAAGCGTAAACCTTTTTTAAGACATATGAAGTCCATGCAATTTCTACCATGTATATAGTAGCAATTGTTTTATTTGTCTTTATGAATTGTTCAAACGGAAGAGGTACAACAATGTAAATCACAGATGCATACCAGGGTATTTTGACTCGCTTAAATAGGTTAATCAGTAGTGGATCCAGGAACTATTAAAAAGGGTGTGTGGTTACATGTCAGTTAGAGGAGGAGAAAGAAGCCAAACATTTTATTATACTAAATACTTATATTT